TTTTATTCTTGATATATTAATAAACCGTGATTACTAATTAAGACAAGACTTTAGCATTAGAGCAAAACAGGTTGAGAGTTCACTCCACTGGTGTAAAGCAGTGGTTTTCAACCTTCTTAATGCTGCGACCCTTTAATATAATTCCTTATGTTGTGGTGACCCCTAACCATAAAACGATTTTCATTGCTACTTCCTAACTAATTTTGCTACTGTTGTGAATTGGGGGACCCCTGTGAAAGGGTTGATTGATCCCCAAAGGGGTCACAACCCACAGGTTGAGAACCGCTGGAAAGGAATAGCATTAGATGATAGAAAATTTGCAAGAGCATCGGGTACTGGACAGGTTAAACTATAAAGCAGTTCACCTGCGTTTCAATGTATCTCACAGTATAGGGCACTTGTTAAGCTAAAAAAAGGCAGTCAATGCTGAGTAAGGCAGGCCCACAGCATGCTGGTTACATTGAGGAGAGACGCTCTCTATTCTTATCCATGAATTGGCTCAAAGAAAAGGGTCTAAAGATTTTATAAGGGATTAATTTTACTAAGGTGCTGGTGAAGAAAATCGAAAATATGGTGGACTACCAAAGACAAACATATTTGTCTTGGAAAAAGTATGGCCAAAATGCAAGGATGATGACTTTGTCTCATGCACTTTGGACATGTGGAGAAGGACATCGTGCACGGGAAAGCAGGGGGCAGTGAGGAGGAAGGCCCATGACCATATGCACCGGCACGTGGCTGCAACCACGGCTCAAACCTACGAACATCTGTGAACGTGGCCCGGGTCTGGGTGTCCTGTTCTGTTGTACAGAGAGAGGGCGCTATCAGTCTGAACCAACTTGACAGCCCTTCATATAACTGCAGCGGCAGCAACAGGGGATTAGAATCTCCAAAAGACTAAGGCATTTCTGCTCAGATACCAAGTATGCGGTTCACACTTTAACTCAGTTGCCATTAAAAACCTAGTTTTAGGACCAGTGGTGTGAGTGGCGAAACAGAGGGTAGAGGGAGAGTGGGTAGGAAAGAGGGAACCGATTACAAGGA